AGCAGTAGGAGTAACAGTAGCAGCAGCAGCAGCAGCAGCGGCGTAGTAGCAGCAGTAGTAGTAGTAGTAGCAGCAGCAGCAGCAGCAGCAGTAGCAGTAGCAGTAGCAGCAGCAGCAGCAGCAGCAGCAGCAGCCGTAGCAGTAGTGGTCGCAGGTAGCAGTAGCACTGGCCTCGTCCGGCTGCGTTGCTGCTGCTGCTGCTGCTGCTGCTGCTCTGCTGCTGCTGCACTCCAATATCCGCTGCTACAAGCATCAACTTCACAGCTTATCGGCTTAATCATTGGCTGGCTGATCGGCTAATCGGCTTCTTTTTCGAAAGGACATGGTAAGATGCTGGAGCATCCACCCTTCACACACACACACACGCACGCACACGCACGCACGCACGTAACAACTTGGATGTAGCATGCAACAGGAGTTGATGGACAGCGGTGCCTCGTAGCAACGGATATCTTACATCCGCGAAGGTATGTCGCAGCAGTTGGAATTGGTTCTGGAGACCTGGGACAAGGACCTGTCTATCTTACTGGCTGCCGAAAGTGAGCTAGGTTTGGCTGATCACGTGTTTTTGTGGCTCTTTCGATGGAGTTGCGGAAAAAACACCTGCCGTATATGCTTAAGTGACGTTCGCTACAAAGATCGACGGAAGGAAGCAAAGCTTGCTCGACAGCACCTGTGCCTGAGCCGTCCTTCAGTAAACCCGAGAAACTACAAAAGTTCTTTGGCCAGGGATCGATAGCCGCTACAGATGAGTAGTACACAGTGCCCAACGACGAGACGTGCACTCCTCACCCAATGCACGACGAAGGGCAAGAGAGCTACAAGCCAGGAGGCACTGCTTAGACCCCAGATTAAGGACCTGGGTCCAGTCGAGCCCAGTCACAGTGCAGTGGTTTGCCGGAGTCTCGCCGACCTTCAAGACTCTTGGAATCTAGCTCGGAGGCTCACTGTCTGTAATTGTGTTTCAGCTTTGGCGCCGTGGGGGACATGTTTGGCGAGATTGGACAGGATTCGTGTGCAGCTAGACTGTCTGCAAATAGCCAAGGATTATGATTCGCCAAGCGCGCCCGCAGCTCTGTTGAGTCTCGGTGTGGTGATTTTGCGTTTTGCTCGATTGTGTGTCAGCCTCCCAAGAACAAGCTAGTGACATTTAAGGAAGTGCTGCATCCTTTGTTGCGGCATCGTGTCCTTAGGGACGGGCACACCACTGCAGCAGCAGCTGCGAAGTGCGGGAGGCCTTCAGACTGAGAGTCTTTGGCAGGAAAATGCCTGAGTTCCATGTTAAGCATGCTGATCTGTTTTACTTTTGTCCGTGGCTCAAAGCTGTGCGCGATGGCTTTGTGGTGCAATGGCCTGCTTCGCAGCTGCAGCCCCGAAGCTCCATGGATGCATGGCAATGGGAGTGCAAGAGCGGAAGAGGCCCAGCATTGCAGATATCAGCAACCGCATTTGTCTCTGCAAAGGCCTGTGCCGGACATCCTCTCTGGTCTTTATCGCACATCCCTCGAAGCTCCAGAGGCTTTCAAGGCAGAGTTTGAGGCAACCACCTCTCGCGTGCTGTCGATTCTCGAAAGCTCTCCGGACAGCAGTAAGGTTCGAGGGAGACAGTGCGGATTGGCTCGACCCTGCCTTTGTCAGGTTTCCCATTGAAGCGAGACGAACTCGAGACGCTTCAAGGCGAAAATGCCTTGCACTTTGCTGCCGGATGTGGCAGCCTTGAGGCCTCTGTTTTCTGAAGCGCTGTCTCTGAAAAACACCTGCGCCGGCAATGGCACACAGCACGGTGAAGGTCTGTCAGGCCCTGTTGGAACGCCATCCAGATCTCATCCACCAGGACTTTTCAGCGATTTCTGGTAGCAAGGCTGATCCTTTGAGCGGCGATGCCTCTCCGGCTGCCAGGAAGACCCGCATGGCCACACACCACTCTTCTGGGCAGTGCGCCACGGATTGGCTGGGGCTACGCAGCTACTCATCAGGACGTGGAAAGCCAGTGTCAAAAGGGCAGGCAGCTTGCCTTTTCCTGATTTTCCTGGGAGACATTTAGGGCGGAAGCGACTTCACAGGAAGTGCCAGCCGACTCTAGAGGAGACTTCCTTGTCTGCAGGAAAGGCGCGGCATCCTGGCATTGCGACAAGCGTGGCCTTACAGCCCTGCACTGGGCCGCCGCATTGGGTTTTGCAAGGACGGAGTAGCTAAAGCACATGCCAACAGTTGTTCGAGCATAACGGGCAGTATTGTCCCAGATTCAGATCTGAATATCTGAACACCCCAGAAACTCTTGATCAGGCTATGTGGAATGCTGCTCGATGTTCCCACAGCGGCAGCTCTCAAGAATCAGCGCTGCAGCAGGGGATGGACTCCACTGCATTCCTCGGCATACGGTCAGTTTCCCAGAAATTCGGACTTGAATCTCTTTGCTTCACTTGCAAATGGTGAAAGGTGGTTCGGCCCAGTGCTGCACGACACTGCTCGATGCCAAAGCAGACGTCGGACAACGCACGCCTCAGGAGCAGCACACCCTTCGAAAATGCGGCTGGGTTCGGATGGTGAAGCACAGCTTTTGCGAGGAGTGGACCGCGCTGCATCTTGCCGCAGTCAAGGGGCACATCGAGGTGAAACCGTTGTGCCAAAGCACAAGGGAAACGCTAGAACCGGGAGCGCTCCCTTTGTCGCCAGGTGCTCCAGATTCTCCTGCCTCACTGCTCCACTGAAATGATTTTGGCACTGGACCGTCATGGTTGCAGTGCCAAGGACCTTGCAGAGGAGCGCTGGATAGCGACAGCATGTCCTTCGGAGGGTCAAGCTTCTTACTGCAGGAGGCTGGAGAAGAGCAGGCCGAGGCCATGCTTCAGCAGGAGTCTGCATGGAGTCCCATCGCGCAATACCCTAGCCTCGTGTCCGCTCGTGCAACATCGTGAGGAGACTCATCGGCAGCTGATGCGCTCGTGGAACCCATGCTCTCAAAAGCAGCCAGAGGTCGCTTCCATTCACTTCCCTTGAAAATGCTCGAGATGGTTGCCTTCGGTACTGTAGCCGTTGCTCCTGTGTGCAGGTCAAACTTTCGGACTTGCTGGCAGCTGCACTGTGCATCCAGGCGTGTGCCCAGGAGTTTTAAGTTGGTCCATGATGTTCGTGAACATCAGCTAGAGATCGCGTAGGCTCCGGTCCTCGAGAAAGTGGGTCGTGATGCTGTGGAACTCAGCTGCCATATCGTGGACCTTCAGCAGCTCGACTGTCTGCGGTCCAGGTGGTATTTTCTTTTGTGTTGCTCCCTACAATCACTGCAGTCCCGGAAAACATCTGAAGATGAGGTTCAGAGTGAGTGGCTATGTCGTGGAGGTGAAGCATTGTGGTGGCCCGGATGGTGCGGCACCGGCTCGGGTCTACTATGCCCGGACCGTGGAACAGCGCAAGGCGCAGTGAAAATGCTGCTGCATACCCTGTCCCAGTCCCATTAAAACTGTGAGCCTCCCTTTGCCCTGACCCCCTGAGCAAGACAGGTTTGAACTTCGCCACCGTACGGCCGTACTATCTATCGAAGTTTCTAGTGTTTGGAAATGGGGTTCAACCCCGCATGCTCCCAGCATCTTGCAGGATGCCCATGCGGGAGAGATTCAGTCTCCGTCGACCAGATGGTATAGCAAATCCGAAACGGTGCAACGCACCGCTCAACCGCTAAACTGTGCGAAACATGAGCGTAGTTTGTTGCTGTGGGCACGGTGCATTGAACCTGTGGGTAGGGGCAACTTTGTGGTTGCCATAGCCCAGAAGCATGCTTGTGATGTTCTGGAATCGTCGCAAGCCCTTTCTCCGGTCATCCTCAATCCTCACTGCACTTGGTGACTTGGTACGTCTGCTTGTTTGGGGAAAGGAGAAGTGGGCAACACATGCTGTGATGCACCACCGACTCTGGCGCAGTGGCTGCGGCCGCACGGGAAACGAGGGCTATGTGCCATGTGTCTGGAGTTTTGAGCTTTGCTCTTGGGAGGTAGAGTTCGTGGAGTTCCTGGTGCCCCGCATGAGATCAAGCGGACAGGCCGTTTGGCAGCGAGGCGGCTCGCAGGGCCAATAGGATCAAACAGCACAGGCAGAGGTTTCCCTGTTTGTCGAGCGCCTACAGACGCGGTGGTGCAGGGGAGAGATACAAGTTTCGTATACGCGGTTGCTGTGAACGGCGCTTGGCTCCAGAACCTGGAGCACCTCGACAGGCAGCTTGGCTGGAAACTGCCAGGTTGCTCCAGGTTGCGCACGTCCGTTATGCCACGATTGAGCGTACGTCGGCTCTGATGACTCATGAGCCGAGCTTTGCCTTGCTGAGGTGATTTCTGACTGGTCGATTGCTGCATGTCTCACCCCGCAACGCCGCCATCGTGCTTCCAGCGCTAGAATTCGTAGGTACAACTCGTTCCCCAGTTTACGACGGATGTGATGCCAGCACATAGAAACATCGAAGTCTTGCTTAAGCCTGCAAGATCCTGCATCCACATCCTTCGGTGAGCTGGAGCTGATGTCAATGTATCGCTAAGCAACGGCGACAACGGCAGGCACGCACCCTGACCGCTACCGATCGATGCCGAGAAAAGAGAAGGGCATCGCTGTCGTTTGCTTATGTTTGCTTCATTGAAACACTTTTCCGTGTTCAGGTGGCCTGCGGCTCGCAACCTGGAGTTCATTACCACAGGCGCGAGCGCATGCGACCGCCGGAGTTGCGAGACCTGAAGGGGTGGCTTGTGCTTTAGAGGGGCGGGCTTCGCAGCTTCGTCGCAGCTTCGGCCTTGCGGCTTCCAGGGAAGTGGCCTGGGCAGCTCTTCCGTTCTGGCGGCCGCGGCGGTGAAGGCCTTGATGGCCGCTTGGGCCGGCGCTCTGTTCTCTTCATGCTGTGACACGGCCGAAGACTCATGCTCGGAAGTTGAGGCAGCTTTCGGTTTGGACATGGATGCGGAATCTCTCATCCATGCAGCTGGGCCAGCACTCATCTTCGCAAACCTGAAGTTGTCTTCAGCGTGTGGGCGTGTCCCTCGAACATGTAGTGCCTTCAGAGAACCAATGGTTCCGGCAATCATTCAAGTCCGCGATCCAAAACGAGAGCCCTTGGCTTAGGCCGTTCAGAATGTCGAGCAGATGCTGACCACGGGTGGAGGCTGGCAAGATCAGGCAGGAGTCAAAGCAAACCGAATATAATATAGCAATTCAAGAGAGTCATGAATGACCCTCGTCAGCACAACATATATTCCCGCGCAGGTTGGTGCGATTCTGGGTGGTGCAAAGCTGACGCGCAGCAAAGCCTCGCTGCCACTGAGAGTCTTGCCGGTGACTTGTCGAAGGAAAGAGCGTTCGTTTGTTCCTCGCCGGCGGGTTTGTGTGCGCGTCACCGAGGAGCAGTTACCACTGCAGCCATCATTTTCAGAAGCCTTCGAGTCGCGCCTCTTGTTGATATTCACTGGTGCCTCAGCGAGGCATTCAGGTCAGCCTGCACGTCCTTATGGCTGCCGTCAAGACTGTTCTCTGAGGCCGACCGCGTTTGGCAAAGCATTTGCTACAGACCCTCAGTCGCGATGAAGGGAGATGGACATGTCAGCTCGAGGGTGGTCTGCTGCTATCGGACCCCCCAACCTTCCCAGGAATGTAATCCGTCGATGGTTCAGCCGCGTACCGGAGATCTGTGAGACCGTCAAAGGTCTGGTTTCTTGACCACGGGAAAAAGCAAATCCTTTGTATGCGCTTCATTGCTCGACGATCAAAGAGTGAACCCAAAGTCCTCAACGTTCCTTCGATATGCTTCGGCACCGTGATGTCTGAGTCTAAGGCAACGGCTCAGTCCTTGCGTATAGTTTGGTATTTTTTGGTAATGTTTGGTTGCTATTAGCTGCTAAAGAACTCAGCTGCTGCAGGGTGCGGTGCTATGCGGTGCTGAGGTCGAGAACGCTTATGACTGCGCAGAGGCCATTCGAGGGGGCGATGTCGAAGAGGTTGGCCGGTGTCTGTCCCGGTATTGGGCCCAGAAACAAGTGATGGCTGCGGGCTGCCAGCCACGGCCGGTGGGGCAGCTGCGGAAAATCCTCGAGGCTGACCTACTAGGCACGCAGTTATGACAAACTCTGCTCCGTTTTCAGAGTTCGGGAGACAGGCCTGCCATGCCTGCCGCAACTCTGGACTCGGTTGCATCCGCGCGAGGCTTCTCCTTAGCTGGTGCTGGGGGCGGTGGCTTCGGAACGCTGTTGATGCGCACGCCTTCGGCCAAAGAGAGGGTACAGCAGGCGCTGGCCCAGTGTCCGGGCTTGGAGGACTGACTTGATAGCATCTGATGAACAGCAAGGCCAGGGAGCTGGAGAGCCTTCCTTGCCTCTAAGTGCCTGAGGACGCCTATGTCTGCGAAGCAACAATTGACCACGTGGGCATGGAGTTGGTCGGCAGTTTGGAGACCTGATTGGAGAAAAGTTTCGATGGCACTGGTGCTCTTTTCAGCACAATTTCGGAGTTCGACCCTGGCACGTCATATGTTGCGCACATCCGGCAGGCCTTGGATTCTGTTTTCGAGACCACCTCGCTGCTGCCGGATGCCGTGAACCGCCTGGTTACACCGCAAGGGGGGAAATGAAGGGGGTAACTCACGTCCTAGTCACACCTCTTGGTGCTGCGCGACTGGCCTGCAGGGGCACAGCTCCGCTGTAAGTTTTGATTTGTTTTTTGGCTCCAGATTTGTTACCGGTGTCAGAATGTTCGCGATAAGGCATAGAGTAGAAATTTCTGCATCATTCCACCAGATTGCAGTATCCACCGTAACCTAGTTTGCGCAGGCACGCGGTGACGGGTGGTGTTGCTCGTAGTTTCTGCGGGCACGAGTGAGATACCGTGAAGCTGGAATCTTCCATTCTCGCCTTGATGCCAGGCGTTAGCAGATGTTGTTGGCGCTCTGGGCCGCAACTTAAGGCCATCCAGGTTCGTGCGATCGCTGCTTTGCGCTAAAATGGATGCAGCTGTACAGCAACTGAGTATCCAACGCATGACACATATTACTGTTGAGGGTAGGGTCAATCATGAGCTTGGCGTTTGGCGGCACAGGACCGCGGACACAGAGGAGGGGACTCTAATTCTTCACCGCATGGCCCGTGCCCGAGCACCACTCGGACAGCCACAGCAGCCACAGCATCTCCCAAAGTCCCTGTTTCCTAGGTCGACCTCTGCAATTTCAACTTGGCGCGGCTCTTCCTGGCCCCGAGTTGTGCAGTCATTGTTGTGAAATTGCGCTTTGGCTTGGAGGGTTTAGCATCGTGGGGTCATCTGCAAGCCAGCAGTGCAGGTGTGGGACTCCATTCTCAGCACAATCACGGAGGCCACTTCGTGCCGACAGCTTTCGAACTGCCTAGGCTTAACGGGACTTCCTTGCGCACGTCTCGAGCTTGCAACTCTTATTCGTTCCGTATCCCTCGTTCCGGGGAGAGAAGGTTGGGAATGCGCGAAGGAGCATGAAGAGGACAAGAGTGCTGCTCTTCCTCGTGCATTCCTTTGTGCATCCGTTCCTGCTCAGCTCATGCCAAGCCTGAGTTCACACCTGATGCTGCCATTGCCGTTGCCGGAAACAGCTGCTTCGCTGCTAGGCAGCGCCTCGTTGCAGAGGTTGCCATCTTGCATGCAGTCTGGCCAGCTGCCACACCCGCAAGTCATGATCAGGTTCTGCCGAGCACGACATCGTTTAGTCGCTGCGTTTCGCTTCTTGCCGTCAGCCGGATCTTGAGACCATCGCGCCCACTTTGAGCGCACACGAACCATTTGCTCATCGATTGCTGCCTGGAAGGTTTGCCATCCCCACTAGTTCTAAATACCGAGCAGCTTGCCGCACACACTCGGCACTGCCACTTGGAATGTCCTAGCAGCTTGCAGCAAAGAAAGACCCTGAAAACAGTAAGTCACCACCGGTTGCCGCACACAAACGACAATCGAGACTGATTTGCGCAAGAATGATTTAACCGAAGCCGGTCCCCCTGCCAGTCGAATCGCATGCTCAGATCATTCGGCTCCGCAGGTCTGCACAGCAGAAGAGAAGACGGAGTGAGATCCCCGGAGTGCACCACGGCGAAGCTGCGATGAGGTTGCATGGGCCACTATCTGGGCCCAGGTCCCCTATGTATGCGCCAGAAAACACTAGAAGCCTCAACCCTGTTTCTGTTGAGGCCTGTGCCATGGGTTTGGCGTAGGAGCTATTGAGGGTCTGCTTCGCGACCGCAAGGCCTTGACCTAGAGGTGTCATTAGCAGCAGGTCACGCAATGGCTTTCGATTGGATTTCCTAGTCAATACCGAAGATTCGCTTCGAATAGATTGCGTATCCCTTCTCCCCCCCTTGTTGAGGGGTCCCTTCACGCCCCTTCCCTCCCCATAGAGCGACACGGCTCGCAATAGAAGGGGTGTATAGAGTCTAGTAGATCCCGGATGGGAACGGGACATGCGAGTGGGGGCGTGGCGGGGGATACATTTGGAGCGGGGACATGCGGAATGCGGACACATATAAGGTTTGTGCTCTGCCAGGCACGCAAGACTCTTTGCTGTGAAGCACTTTCAAAGCTCCAGCGCTCTTCCACACACAGTGTTATTCACATGTGGCGGGAACCCTCTCGGCCCCAGGCTCCGCGGCCAAGCTGCGACTACCCTCTGCTTGATACTTGGACAGGTCGGGTTTTCCGGAGCTTGGAGTTGAATTTTTGCGACCGGAGCGTCAGCTCCAGTTCACCAATTTAAAAAGTGAGTTTCTTTGCACCGTACATTTGTTGGACGGCATTGTGTAAGATTCGCATCGGATCCATTTATCCCGTGTTGCCAGGCTCTGAGGAAAGGCGCCCTGGCTTTGGCAGACCATCCGGAGGCAGAACGAATTATGCATTATGCTCTAACCGTCTTGATTCAGACGTGCCTTCTTGAGGAAGCTCAAGATAAACTGCTCCGCCACCTGGAGGTTCGGAGAAGAGGGCCTATGGGACACTTGAGTACACCGTCTCTTTTCGCAGGTTCTCCTTCGCAGCCCGCATGACGACGCAAGGGCCAGGATATGTGAGGCCAGAAGCGGGCCAGGGCACACAGAGAGCAGTAGTGTTCCGAGCATTTTTTCCCGAGAGACTCTTTGGGTGATGGACTGTTTGCGGTCCAGTGGGAAGGCTCGCTTTTTTGCTTGATAGACAGTATACGCTATTATGTCTCGGAGGGGGGATCCTGAGGATTTGTCAGGAGAGACAAACAGAGAGAAGCTTTCTTCAATGGCCACTGAAGGACCCTCACAGAAAGAACTTTGCAGGGGGTCCTAGAGTCCCGTGGTCTCATTCCCGCAGCTGTTCTTGCATCGAGGCCTGGGGACGAGAGACTCGAGCGAGTTGCATGTACGTGTAGGCGAGTTGATGTGAGTCCAGATCCTACTAGTGGGTAGAGTTGAGAAAACGGGTTGCAGCTGGTTATCAGGTTAAACATTTGAGACAGGCGCGAGTCAGAGCTATTTGCCCCAGCTGCCGACATTTTGATGCTTCTTGATGCTAGCTAGTACGACGGGTTGAAGACAAAAGCAACCTGCTGCCAGGGTCTCTTGAGTATCCTCCAGACCTCTGGGCAGGAGCTCCACAAGACAGCATCAACCTGAGGTGTTCGCTGAAGTATTTCACCTCACATGCGAAGCTATAGGCTTGAATAGGGACCATCTCATTTCGGAAGCCGTCTTCCCAAACCGCCATGATGATTTGCTGTGTCGGTTCCAGTGATGCAAGTCTGCCCTCAGCCTAGGCTTGGGGCACCATGCGGGGAGCTTACAGGGGAATGAGAATGAGACAGCAAACCCCGCACCAGTGGACCAGGACAACCACTCAAACATAGAGGGCGAGTTTCCTGACAGCTAAATAACAACCGGAACTCAGGCGTGCTGTTAATGAGCTTGGCTGACGACTATAGCAGTTCGGATGCGTAACGGCGTAACACTGGAAATTCTGGGCTTAGCAATTTGGGCTCAACGTGACCCAGACGGTCAGTAGCCTCCGGAGTGGCAGAGGAGCGCTTGCCGGCTCATAAGCACATGTGTTGCAAGCGTGAACGCACCGCCGGAAGGTTGCTAACACCTCAGAATTTTCAACTGTTTGAGTTTCATGTTTGCGTGGTTTTGTTTCGTCGCCAATCAACTGTGTTTTTTTTCCACCTGCGCTGCGCATGCGCTACGTACCCTTGCACTGCTGCGTACATTGCACGGGTCCTATCTTACGACCAAAGAGTTTGAACTCCGTTCTGGAAGGACAGCAAAGACATGAGCAGGGACATGATTGGACATCGACAAACGCGTGTTTTACAAGATTACAAGGAGAGTCAAGCAAAATTGGCATTGTCTTGCTCATTATTAAAATTTTCTTGATCACGTTCACCGCATTTCATTCTACGAGATGAAAAATGAAAATGAATTGCCTCTCTTCAGGTTGTGCGCCTTTCCATGTCAAATTCGAGCAGCGCCGCTTTGGCTGTGAACACCCAGTGATGCCCCTTTCTCAAGGTAGGTTCGAGGATGGCTCTCCTTTCCGTTGGAAATAGCAGTGAAGAGACCGTGCACATGGGGATAGAAGGTGAAGAAGCAGTGTCATGCCTGGAAAAGAAGCGCAGACGGTCTGGGGCATCAAAGCCAAACCGAAGGGCACTACTGATCTTTGGAATGAATTCCAAATTCACTCTCGGTCCGACGACTTAGACCAACACCGGCGCCAGGGGTCCCATGAGGTCAATTCCAATGATGAGGAAGAGCTTGTGAGCTGGGACACAGTCATGTGTCATGCAATGGGGGCAACAAGAAGCATTTGGTGCAACAACTGGCTGTACGTCACCCCTGCACTCTTCATGCACACTGCTCTTCCTATATCTCGCCGCTGGAATTTGCCATGCACGCTCATGCCGACATGGTGGAGTCTCTGCTGCGGACTGGTGCTCCTGTTGACAATAAGATGATGGTGGAAGCTGCTTGTCACAAGCTGCATGAAGTCGCATCAGGAATCAACCGAGTCACAAGCTGTTGTGTATGCTTTTGGGACTGGGGACTTGGCCGCGGGAATCCCAATGCATTCTACGATCGGCAAACTCCCACATCAACTGCGCCGCCCAAGCTTGCGACTCGTCTGAGGTCCAGCAGTCCAGCTCTTAATGGAGGCGGGAGCAGACATCAATACCACGGATCATGGAGGCTTCACGCCCCTGTTGAATTCCTTAGCAGGAGGTTGCGACTCTCTGGCAGAGGAATTCATCCAGCAAGGTGCCGACATCAATGTCAAAACCGCGCAAGGAGAGAATGCCTTGCAAGTTGCGTGCCAAAGATGCATGGCAGATGCAGGGCAATCCTTGCTCGAGAAAGGCATTCATGCTGACCATAAAGACAATCAGGGGAGGACCGCTCTTGATTCGGCGGCAAAGTATGGTTGCGCGCCCATTTCATCTGCTTTGCTTGACAATCCATCCACGAATGTTCACGAAGCGGACGATTCGGGCAAGACAGCTCTGTTCCTAGCCATTGAAGAAAGCGGCCCCGAATCACTTCTGAGGATGTTGCTTGAAAAAAAGGTGCTGATGTAAAGTTCGACGGGAGTGCCAAAAAACCACCAGGACCAGAATGGAGCGACACCACTCATTATGGCAGCACAAGTTGGGAAGGATGGCCAGCTGCTATTACAACATGGCGCCGACGCTGCTGTCGTGGACAAAGCTGTCAACACAGCCTTGTGGCCTGCGGCCAGTGCAGGCTCCGCCAGGGCTGCAGCTTCGCACCTGGAGTTTGGCAGTGCTGATTTGGTTAACCAAAAAGGGGAGAAAGTCAAGACGCCCTTGGCTAGCGCATGTTGGAACACACATGCCGAAGATGCACAAGCCTTGGTTGCGCATGGTGCTGATCCTGCCATCAAGGACGACTACGGTCAGGAAGCCTTGAGCTTGGCCACTCAATTTACCACGCACCTGAACCCTGGACAGAATCCTGTTCGCACGCCACGATCCGTCGGCACAGTGCACCAGTGGACAGGAACACAAGAGAAACTCTTGGGAGTCTTGAAGGTCTTGGTCGATGCGAAAGTCAACTTGAACATTTGTGACTTCGAAGGCTTCACTCCCTCGTCCGGCGCGAATCCCAACATGGCGAGCACGCAGGGCTTTATCACCCCATTGGCATGTTGTGCTTACAACGGTTATCCATGTACGGCTGCCTTGCTTTTGCAAAATCGGGCCAACCGATATGCCGAGAGGCAAAACGCCAGCTCAGCTGTGTGGAGTCGGAGCAGGGCAACTAGAAGTCAAACAACTCTTCCGTTAATTCCATGTGGGTGGAATCTGGACTCTTGTGACTCTTGTTACAGCAGAGTGAACGGCTAGCAGAGAAGCTGCTCGCGTTCGTTGCAGAAGACCTTACTATAGTGGAGCGGGGACACTTTTTTGGTTGATGACCATCGGACACGTTGTTTTTACGGGTGACAATCTATTCAGACGCTCCCTTGGTCATCTCAGGAGGAGGGCAAAGGCAAAATTCCTTCGCTGAAAGATTGATATGTGGCTGATAAAGAGGCTTAGTTGCTCGTTCTTTACAGCTCCATGGATTTTGTTGCCGTTGTTGGTGCTGCCACCGGGCTGGCAAGTTCTAGAACCTCTGTCTCGAAAGTCGTGCGCAGGAGCCTTCATGGCAGAGTCAGATGTAGCGATGGCCGTCTAACCCTGAGCAACAACCTGCGGCAGTCTTGCCCTTGCAGAGCAGGCTGGCAGGAGGGATTTGGCTCAGGTTGATAGCTCGGTGGCGCAATGTGGCCCGCAGCTCTACTCAGCGTTGGCCTTGGAAGTATTGAGCGGCAGGGACCTCAGCCAAACAGCTCGAGCGATCCAGTGCCACAGAAGGTGTGTGTGGAGACCACCTCTCCGAGAGACGATCTGAGGTTTAGATCTCGTTGCCCTTTAGCTGCAAATAAAGGCATGTAGCCGCAACCACCCACTTCTCTCTCGCAAAGTTTCATGCATGCTTGATATGCGGGAGGTTCCTCAAACCAAGCTTCTTCGACCAGAGAAGCAGCTAGAGATCTACCACTATGCCTCGCAGTTGTATGATTTCAGAGATGCCATCCTAGCATTCTGGAAGGAGGAGCTTCGTGGCTTCATGCCGGATTTCTGAGCGACTCGGGAGAAAGCTCTTTTGGCCCCGCCCGCTGCCGTCAGGATCTCTCCGAATCCTCCGAGCTGCCAGACGCTTATCGCGCAGCGGCCCAGGCGGTCAAGGCTTGACGCTGACAGTGATCATCACTGACGATGCCCTAGCAGCGGTGGGCTTTGTCAGCATAGTCTGCAACGAAGCCGCCAGGTTCAGTGGCAAGGCCAAGGTACGTGGCCGTCTTTGGCAGAGTTGAAGGGCAAGAAGGCTCGACAGGAGACCAAAAATAGAGAGTGAGAGAGGCCGTGCCGGGCCCTTGGGAAGGCTCGACTGGCAGGAAAGCGCCAGTTGTCAATAATTTTGTCATAGTTCATTGAGTTAATTGCTTGTAATAATGCCGCACATGCCGTATGATTTCCGGACTGAAAGAATACGCATGCTGAACAAATGCTTTGCAAAAGCAAGGTTTCACCACGGCTAGTGACTAACGACTGTCTACGGTGTCATGCTGCAAGCAAGCACGGTTGCTGCTTGCGAGGTGTTTGGGCATGCATCAGTTATTAAGTTGCTGGGCTGCAATTCGCATGGAGTCGCGGATGTCAGATCGACCTGTTGCTGCTTCCACAAGGTTCTTGGCGCTTCCAAATCTCCCGGACTCGACCGCTTGCGTCTTCCTTCAACAGCGGCCGCGCGTCGCCAGCGTTTCCTCCCAAGAGACACCTTGGACCTTTGCTGAAGGCGCTGGCACTCTTCATGTGCAGACATGAGAAACTTGCAGACAGGACAAACTCCAAGCATGATCAGGTATAGATTGTTGCAGCAAGGGGCATTTAGGGCTTTTTTGGTTGGAAAGTCTGCTGTTGCTCTTCTCTAACGACTCTAAGAATCGGTTTCGAGAAGATAGGGATGGAATGCCACACCACGTTTGGACGCTTCACATCACCGACATGATATCGCAATGTGTAGGACAATTTGTGGACCCTATTGCCGACTTGGAAGCCAACCGGTAACGCCCCAAGTTTGTGGAATGTCGCTCCTCGCCGCAATTAAATATGTTGCCGGCATCAAGGTCTGCTGTGATCATGCACATGGACAACTTCCTCAAAGGTGCTGTTGTCATTGCCAACCCGCTGCTGCGGAGCCCCTTCTGAATTCCAGTGTTCCACCCTTCATTCAGCGACACTGTCGCCCGTTGCCTCGCCACAGACCAGTCACAGGAATGGCCAGGGCTTAGCCACGGCTTCCGAACAATTGGCACATAGCATTGCGCGAGAGGCAGGGGTCTGGAGGAGGCGGGTTGCCAGTGCTGGCATGCCGACGTGAGAGGGATTCAGGGAGCGACGAAAGCACCACCACAACTGGACTTGAGTCCAACATGCCGTACAATCAGAAGCCAGAGAGCAGAAGCGGCATGCCAGGTTGCTGAAGACGGAGCCTCGACTTGACTGTTTTAATTAGACCTCGGGCAGCCATGCATGGGCATCCTCTTTCTGGCTGTTGCTGAGCCGCAGAACGGGAAGTACGCGTTCTCCGCTCTTCTGCTTCCATCGGAACAAAGGAACAGGACCTCTTCAGCCAAGCTACAGCTCTTCTCATCCGCCAGGCGTTGCTCCCGCCTGCGGTCATGTGGAAGCTGGAAACCTGCATTTCGACTTCGGCCGTAGGAAATTGAAGCCACTGCCAGATGGAAGGTGCTCAAACTTGGACCTGCAGCGGTGACAGCCACAGTCACCCCCAAGAAGCCGCGCAAGGGTGCAGATGACAGGACCGTCTTGGCTGTGACATTGTGCACGAGAGTGAGGATTCAAAAGAAACTCTGCGTGATTGATTGAGCGGCTTCTGGCGCAGGACTGACCCTGACGTGACGATGGAAACACCTGAAAAAGATCTGCAGCCAGGGAAGGACGCGGCCGTGCGTCCGGAACAGGACACCCACTGAATGAATGAACGAGAAAGTGATGATTGGCTTGTCCACATGCTGTTCGGCAGGAGGAACAGCGAGCCTATGGCAGGCTTCTTGAATCCATGCTGCAGGAGCTGGACTACTTCACCGAACCGTTGCCTGACCCTGCTGTGAGACTACTAATGGTTCAAGTCGCGAACATGAGATTTGTGCTTTGCTTACTCTGCCCCCAGCCTCGTGTATCAGCACCGCCATGCCCTCGCTGGAATTTCGTTTGCGCTGCGATGGCGAGGTTCCAGTCTCTTCGATGGTTGGACAACAAAAAGCAACTTCTCGTATACTACCATGCCGCGCAATTGAACGAAAGGCAGGACAGTGTGCTGGCCGCATTGCGCCAAGCTCGTGGTGCACCCTCGCAGCAGGCACTCGGTGTGCGTGTGTGTGTGTGTGTGCACACGCGGGCGAGTGCTTTTTTGATAATTTTTTGTGTGCGAGTGAAGAGGGCAGGAAGGGAGGCAGAGCAGGGAGACTGAGTGAGTGTCTCTCTTCCCGCCCATTGCAAGTAAGCCCGAGCGGATTGGATTTAGGACGGCGACTCTCTTTCGCCGGCCTCCTGCTACTTAGAATGCCTGTCTGTGATGGCCTGCTGTGTTGCACGAGGTGCTGCGTTATTCGAAGGCGCTATGTTGGGGGCAGATGCTGCCCGCCCACGATTCACGATCCAGTTTTGAAAGCGAATGCGGGCCGGGCTGATGTAAGCAATGGTTAGAAGAACCAAGCTGCGGCTGAGGCAGGATCCCACCGTGGGCGAGCCGCAGCAGAGCTCTGCCGTTCAGAAATAGGGAATGCCGATATAGATAATTCGAAGAAGGCGAAGTGAAATCCTCATGGAGTTCTGCCAAATTAAAATCATCTCGAAGATGCGGGCTAAGGGCGAAGATCGGCACAGCAAGGGCTTGGCCGAGAACCACGGAGGGAAGCCATCTCTTAGCTTGCAATCTTCATCTCGTTATAGCGCGAGGGGCCGTCCCACAGCAGCTAGCCGCGGACTGGGCTTTCCGCCAAATCACCTGAAAACCATGGTCAACCAGAATGAGTCACAACAGCTCCGCCAAAGATTGACGGACAAAGGCCACAAGACTCAGACGTCGATTTGCGGCGCCGCGGTGCCATGCACTTTTATCCAAGTGCAGGCAGCCGCGATACATCAGCAATCATCAGCATCTTGCAGTTGCAGCTTCCGGGCGGATTCTGCTAGGTTGAGCAGCCGAGCTCGTGCTCGCCACCACATTCGACGCTTTGTCCGCGTTGTGGACTGCCATGGACTGCCTGTTGCTTTTGTCGGACTTGCTTCACAACCGACTAGTCCGATCGCGGAAATTCGAATCGCAGCGACACCTCGAGTTTAATATAGATGAGCTTGCGAGACATCGGTTGCAAAGTTCTTTGCATACTCATGCCCTCCGCGAGGTTGCTCCGGAAGAAGAAGAGAAGAGAGACTGAGAGAGAGAGAGAGAGAGAGAGAGAGAGAGGCCTCGGCTTCTGGAAAGGGGCCTCGCCTCTCTGGCCCTGAGAAAGAAGGAGAGGCTGAACGAGATTGAGACCGTTGCTTCTGCCGGCTGCAAGGTGGAAGATCTTCTCGCACCGTACGGACAGGCGGTGGCGCGGGTCACGGATGAAGTGAACAAGCTGATCCCCGAGGGGCAAAACCTGCGGAAGATTTTCGGCCACTTGGCAAGTCGTTGCGACTGGTCGGAGCGGCTCACTGGCCCTTTGGCCCCCACGGGTTGGTTTTACGCGACAGCCAGTGCACTGTGGAAGCGACCTGTGGCAGGTCATGATCACGTCATCCGCTACCACACTCTCAAAGGCGTCCCTGTCCCGCGGACCTCTTGCATTTTCCTGCGTGAACGACCCCAGTGCTCAAGTGATGTGTTACGGAAAACACCATCAATCTTTCGTGATTTGATTCGAGCCTGCGCTGCATATAACTGGGTGCACAAGAACGTGAAAGTGCTGAGAGCTAAGGCTTCTTGTGTACACTTGTTCTTGGATGGCAGTTGGGGCCCGGGCCGGTGAGTCCTCTGAATCCTGAGGATACAGAAACCAGGGGAGTCCCCTCATGGAGCTCGAACACCACCAGCTTGCTCTCGTGCTGACTGCCGCTCAGCGTTGTAATTTCGAGGCAGGTGGTGTTTTAGCGTCTTCTTCCGCCCTGCCCGAACATTTCCAAACTTTGCTAGCACTACATCCATGCTCCCGCTAAGGTCCACGATCGAAATCCGCGTGCTTTCGTGGTCATCAGCCCCCTCTTCGAGAAGCATTGGCTCATTGAAGGCGTCTCTGGAAAAACCTGGAGTGAAATCCAGGAAGCTCTCAAGGAGCGGCCGTTTGAACCCGAATCCGAAGCTCGAGAGAATTCGAGAGAGAGAGAGAGAGAGAGTGTGTGTGTGTGTGTAAGAAGCCCCGAAGGATGAACTGGCCGACCTCATCAGAAGAGAATCTGATGCTTGGAGAGCTTTCATCCAAAGCCATGCCGACATGGTGAGCAAGGATTCCTTAAAGATCATACAAAGAGTGCTGCGACCTGGTTGCACTGATCGTTGAGCTTCCTCACCCGCATTTACGAATGTTGCTGTTTGTCGGAAAGGGGCTCGCATTCGTTGGAAGCGCCTGCAGGAAGACCTGTCAGCCGGGATCTGGCTTCGGTGAGCCTTGGAAGTCTTCAGAGCCGCAGAGGCAGATTTCGGCCGTTAACACCTCAAGGTGAATATGCGCTCCGGGTGATGCAGGATGTCGATGAAGCAAACCAGGCCTGGAGCATCCTGGAGCCAGGGCATGTAGCGGTTGTTGGCCGCAGTCTCATTGTCGCGCTCACACATGGCGTGTGAGTTGGCGACAGCGCCTGTGCCAGAAGGCGTTTTTCTTTGCCACAGGCTCGCGAGTTGGCAGAGATGAAGTACGCGGAAGCAGAGCAGCGCTGGGCAGCCTGTCGCGGTAATATGCCGGTAGTCGAGCTGAACCTCGAGCTGTTTGAATGCAGAAGAACCGTCTCGAGCCGTGAGGACATGGAGGCACAGCTTGCGCTTGCTGATGCAGACACTCGATGGCGCGACGCAAGAAAGAAGGACTGGTCGTAACGTGCAACCGCCTGGGTGTGGCCAGAGTCGGCATGTCTCTGCCTTCTCTGAGTATCTTATTATTAAGGGATGATACTTGACATTTGTGTTCTTGCAGGCCGATCAGCATGCTGCAACTGTTAAGAAGGCAAAGCTGCGCGCCAGAAGCAAGGCATCTTTGCTCGGACGTTGTGGTACAGCACTGTTGGGCTTGACACGGGCATGCCGGTATGCTGGAGTGTCAAGGCAGCCAAGATAAAGGAAAAAGCAGCAAAGAGATTGGAGCAGGAACGCCTGGCAGCTGAGGCGCAGCACTATGTGCCATGTTCGTTCGCTTTCCTCCACAGCCTAGGGCCTAGGGTCTGTTCAGCGATATTCCGAGTTGCAACTGGAAGGAGCGCCTGGAGACCCAGAAGGCTGCTCACTGCGAGGAGGTTGCAGATCTCACGAAGGCGCCTGAGCTTTGCGCATGCCTTCATGGCTTGAGAAGGCTCTTCAGAGGGATTGCCGTGATGCTTGAGGTTATTTCGGATTGAGTTACTGTTACTAGCGGCTAGCTGCACAGGGCCATGCACAAAGACGTTGCTGAGAGGAGCTGGAAGAAGCCCACGGTGTGAGGAATCGGATGGAAAGCCTGGCCTCAGAGCGGAAAGAAGAGGTGTGGAATGTAAGCGTAACCAGTTGGTGGAGCTGAAATGTTCTGCTGAGCTCTGCTGTGGGCCGTCTGCCAGAGGTGCAGTGCCTGCAAGATGCGAAGCTGGAACTTCTAGATGCCCTCTCGAAGATGGATTCACTCTGCCGTGCCGAAACGCAGATGCTGCGCACCAAGAATGCTGCCTGGCCACAGTTCTGGAGAGTTTGCATTCCGAAATCGAAGCAAATTTGCGTTGTCCGAAATTGAAATCATGCCCAGGTCGTCCTGAAGCAACATCTCAAGCAAACGAAGAAAGGCCAAAAAGAGACCCTGAGAGCTGCTGAGGCAACACGACAACACGCAGCCGACCGATTGTTTGCAGTTTGCTGTTGGCCACATGCCTCACCGCAGGCGAAGTTCCTGGAGGTGCAGACGGCCACGATAGAGGAGCAGCAGAAGCTCATCAGAGAGGTTGCTATGCATTGTTTTGTCAGTACTCCTTGTACATCGAGTTGTGAAAACTAGAGCTCCAAATGCATCATGGCCTTCCTGTGCGCAGTATGTGTAAACCAGTGTAAGCCATGCAAACTGTCTCCAGGCTGATGCGCAGGTCTGTACCGCACGCCGAGAAGCAGCTGCAGCTGCTGCAGCCAAGGCAGCAGCAGAGGAAAAGGCTGCGGAAGCCATGGCACGCGCAGCATCAGCAACAGCGAAGGCTGTGAGAGAGGGGTTCCAAGCTGGAGTACCACCTTACTACCACACTTACAGCGGCTTCGCTGTTCTTGACTGCCAAAGGCAGACGAGGCAATGGCGACCGCCCGCCAAGCTACTGCGACTTTGGAAGTGCAGACCGCGACCATGCAAAGGCCAGGCCCACGTCGCAAGGAAGGCGTCAGCACAGGCGGTATAGGTCAGGTGACAGCATTTGTGTAGGGTGTGTAGATAGCGAAAATGGGCCTGCAGGCCGCTTGGGCTGTGGCAGGATTGTCTGATTTGGCACACTTTGCACGTTCTGGGTGAACCAAGGACCACGCAGATGAACGCAGCTCTTCGAGTGGAGGCGAAGGAAGCAAAGGCTGAAGTAGCCGCCGCGCTGCAGGAGCCGAGTCGCACCGAGCACTTCGGAAGCTCCATCCTGTCTTCGCCTTTTTTCAGGAAGCGCAGGCCAAGGCCGAGCAGCAGAAAAAAGTCGCAAAAGAGCTCGAAGCTCGCTCCGAGGCCGTCGTGGCAGCCTATGGCGGCTTCCACTTTTGATACAGGGATTTGCTGGCAGGAGCTGCGCTCATCACTCGAATCGACCGACAAACTGAAGGCCTGCATCTTTCTCCACTTCGCAGCTTGCATAATAGGCTAATGCTCGTGCGTCCTCCTGCGTCTCGCGTCCTAAGTCCCGCGTCCCACCCATACCCCATAATACCAGTAGCTTGCTGATCGTGGACTATGATTTCAGCATGCACCTCCCAGCACTTCGTGGCAATGACATTAATACATCAGGTTGCAGGATGTAGTAGGCAAGCGTGCAAGCGTGTGCGTCCGAGTCCGGAACCTGCGGCCCCGGTTCCCTGCTCTGACCCACGGTCCACCACGACGAGTGCCAGGCCAAGATCCAAGAGATGCAAACGAGGGAGGTCGAGTTTGAACAAGCGCTCGTCAAGGCGCAGGCATGGAGTTGTCATGACAGATGACAATCAGGAAGCACTGGCGAAGCAAGGCACATTTCAAGTTTCAATGCCTATGCTGTCTTGAGGTTGGTGCTGACGCACTCAGATCAGATTTGCGGATTGCTCGAGCAGCTGCTTGGACGTGAGGGGTTGCAAGAGTGATGGGACTCACAACACAGCGTGACTGACTCTGCTCCATTTGTATGCAGCCATGTCACCTGCGTGGTCAACCGAACTGTAAGGAGACCCACGCCGCGCGAGATGAGGTGGGCGCCAGAGTGTCAAAGTTGTGCGTCGCCTTTCGGTTCGTGCTTCGTAAATCGATCATTGCGGTTTGTGGCAGCGCAAGCCAGTTCGGTACACGCGCAGTGGATGCTTCTCATCGCGGCTGTCAGTGTGATGCCATGTACTTTTCTGTCGCGCGTGCCATTTGGGGCCGCTGGGGCAGCCCCCGTGAGCTAACGTTAAATGGCAATTCAACAAGCTTCAACCGTGTTGAGCTCATCCGTGAGCGCGCATGCTCAGTCAGAGTGTGGCTAGCCAGGCAGCCGCCCTCGCCACCAAGTGCACCAAGATCAGCATCGAAGCTGCGAAGGCCTCTGATTCGTTATTCATAGTCTCAAGCAAAGACCACCCACGGGTGCACCAGATGAGCTGAAAGTTCTTCTTGGAGGTGCCGCAACTCCAAGAAGACCGAAAGCAATTGGAACAGCAGCTGCCAGGCTGCATAGAGAATTTCACTGTCGTCATGCTTCGTCTTCGTCTTCCGATGGGAAGTTAAGGTTGGCTGAGATCTCCCAAATTGCTTCGCGTGCCTCGGCACTCACCGCCTCAGCATGGAACCAAAATCAATCATCTCCGCAGATCCATCCTCAAGCCTACTCGAGCTACGTTTTCAATCCTATCCGTGAACGGGGCCACGCGTCTTTCTGGAGTGGAACTGAGTCTGAGGTGCTGATGCACTACAGCTCGCGGAGAAGCAGCTGCAGAACAAACTCTTGCAAGTGCAAGCGGAGCTGCAGAACAAGCGCCTTGACACTGTGTTGTCGCTTTGAAGATCTTTGAAGGTTCAATCAACGCAGTGTCCACCCGTCCATGACCTGCATGAATGAAGCAATGGTGTGAACAGACTCATGTTCATGTGCTGCGGTGGGTTGTCAATGGAGAACTAAGGAACGAACTGTCATCGGCTCAGCCCGAAACTACGAGATAGAGATATGAGTACAGATTCTCCATCCGCCGCATTGCATCTCCAAGGCTTGCACAAGTCCAAGAATCAAACATGGCTTTGAGGATCCGGATGGTGACCCGTTCGCACAACCATCTTGTGGTTGGGAGTCACAGTCCCGTCAAAGCACGCTCGCAGCATGCAAGGCAGAAGCAGACGAGAAGCTCACAGAAGTGCAGGCAGCCGTGCTTGAGGCTGAGCTATCAGGTGGGCTTCTGTGTGTGAGCGAAGGAGCAGCTGGTGGAGAAGCTTCGACCAGCAGCAGCTGCGGAGGATGCCTTACGAAAATCGGACGCCCAGAGGGAAGAGGCAGAGGCACCCGTTTCCAATGAGACAGGAGTAGCTGCCTTGATACAACACGTCATGGCTTTACAGTCAAGCCGAAGAGCAGAGGCCAGAGCAAAAGGAGCCGAAGCTGCGGCAAGAGAGGTGCGTGGTTCCTAGTTAGTGGCAGGGGGTCAGTCCACTCACGATGCACCATTCAACTTCCGATGAAGCGTCAAAGCATCATGTGAGTGCCAGATACGCGCTTTTGAAGCAAAAAAAACACTGCAAGACAGCAGGGCCAGTCAGTACCTACTGGTGCTAGTGCTGCCGCGTAACCAAACGAAAGTCGCAACACAAGCTGGAACCGCCGGTATGACAGCCCGCACCAGGCCAAGCTAGTGTCGAGCATGCGATTGATTGGAATCATTGATAGGTCAGGAGAGCCGTCCGGACGAGTAAGCATCGTTTAAAACCTTAGAGCAGGAAACTGCATCGAGGCGGCAGAACCACTTGTCCCAAAAGACAGTTCTGAGGGCATGGCCTTGTTTCGGCGCCTTATCAATGATCGGGGTATCACGAAAGGAAATTGCCAAAGGCCATCATATTGTCAATATTACTTGGGTAGATTATGATAGTTCTCGCAGATTGTGCCATCGAGAAGGGCACAGAAGTAATTAGCGTGAAAGTGCTGCTGGTTGCTTTATGCAAGAGTGAATGCAAGGCAACCGAGTCAAGTCTGCTGGACTTGGTACCGCCCGTCTTGCGCAGCTTTTGCTGTGCCACTGTGTCGTGAGCACACGCAGACTTGTTAATTAGACTTGTTTTGCGCCAAGAGGCGGCTTTGCTCTTGTTTCATGGTGTGATGCTGATGCTGCTGCGCCGTGGGGGAGGGTTAAATCCTTGGATTTTGGGCTGAGCTGTTTGCCTCTTGCCGGAGGTCAGGCTCGCACTGTCAACTGGGATCATCTGGAATGTGGAGCCGCGATTGTACTGAGCCACTGGCAGAATTGCCTTTGCAGGCACAAGCGGTCGTGGCAGAGATGACCATCAGAGCAGAGCGGGCTGAGAAGGAGCTGGTGTAGGGACATGACATGATGCACAACTGGTGCACGGGGTTTCGAGACGGGGACGGAGGGAGCATGGATCGGGGCTCTCTGCCTGAGGCCCAGCATGCACTGGAGAAGACCGAGATCCAGACAAAGGTGCCGCAGTGACATGTGGTAGAGTTTTTGGTGTCGTGGTGAGTTTTACTTCGCTTCGTTGAAACAGCCTATCTCACAGCCGAGTTTTTCATGTCGCAGGCTGCACTAGCTGCACAAGCCCGGCAAGCTGCCCATCTGACCGAGAAGTGCAACATGGCTTTATACCAGCTTGGCATAGCTTGGCAGTATGTACCATGATCTGTTTTCGCTCTACTTGGGCCCAGCAGTGCGACGGATTCTTATAAGCTAGAAAGGTAGCGAAGTGAAAGTGCCCAGGTGCGTCCCTCAACTCAGCTTTGTCATCGGCTGCAGATCGAGCAGAGCTGGCGACTTCAGCAGCAACTAAGGCCAGCACGCACTGATAGGGTCTAGAGAGGGTGATGCCGATGTGAAGGCCCCGACAGCGGCTCGAGCTGTCGACGCAAAATTTCCTACCAATAGTATGGGATGGCTTGAGCCCTTGCCTTCGGCTCCCACTCGTGATATCGTGGGGCTGCCAATTAACTACACACGCGCGGGGGATTGCGGTGGTTAGGACGTTAAGAGTTATAAGCATGTGAAGCAATGGTCAGGGTTTCGTGACGCGATCCATGTCATTCATGTTCATGGTTTGGCCGTTTGGACAACATAGAGCTCTGAAGAACTTTGAACGATGGAGGCACAGCAAGACGTCACCATGAAGGAGGCAGGTCAGAAAGTCTGATGCGGATGGCTTTTTGAGTCAGCTTTGGAAGGCAGAGATCGCCGTCCTGCAGAAGTCTTTGCACGCCGTGCAGGTTCAGTCTGCATTGCCCGATCTGCCTTCAAAACCTGACTCACCCTTGCTCACCTCAAATGCGTCTCATGTTGTGGTCTTGAAGCCTCCCCCCAACTAGGCGCTCGCTGACGATAGCCAACAGCCGCAGGCCCAATCATTCATGTGGCGCAATCCTGTGTGCGGAGGCTTCGAACAAAAGTCTGCGAGCAGAAGCGATGCAGGCTCGCAGGGCCGCAGGGATCCACAGGGTGCGGGCTGTTCTGCCTTGTGCAGTTTTTGTCTCTGGCATCGGGCAAGTCCATCACTTGAGAGAGGCGGCTAGATATGCTAGATTTCGCACGGCACACGATGCCAAACTGCTGCCGCGCAAGCAAGGTAGAAAGATCGGCAGTGACGACGACGACTAAAAACGGTGAGCAAGAGCTCGCAACTAAAGGGAGCCAATTCATCAATCGCTTGTCGACCGCAACGACGACGACCACCACAACCACGATTACCACGATGACGCTGACGACGACGACGTGGGATGCTGACTAAGCCGGGTGCTGCCCAGCTCAGTCGCTGACCTCGACAGTCTTCACGGTTTGTGCAACAGCACGAAGACTAAGCAAACCGCTTCTGTCAGACCTAGCGAATGCCCGATTTGCAGAAAGTGCACGTAGCATCTGTGAAGACCCGAAGTCCACCTAGCAACTATAACTTGCGCGACTAGACGACATGCCGACACTTCTGCACAATTGCAGAGCCATGTGCGCAACCAAGAACAGTTACAATCAACCGTGTTCCTTCAGGGAAGCTACAAGCAGCTGGGAGTGTCAGACGCAGAATGTTCCCTTGAGGCAGATCACGATGCGAAAGCGGCGCTGTCTGCGTGCGATGTCTTAAGGCAGAGCAGCTCCCGTGCGCAAGAGGAGGCACAACAGCTGGCTCGACGATTGTCTCATATCGTGGCGTAACTGAGCAGCAGATGCAGCAGGCCGAGCGAGCCGTAGATGCTGCGAAAGCAGCAGAGGCAAAGGCCGAAGTACACGCAGCCGACCTTGAGAAGTTTCAGCAGAAGCCACCTGGCCATGTACAGCGAGTAGACGACATGCGAGCCCACCACACCCAGCCGAGGTACCAAGAAGTGGTCGACGAGCTTGCAAAGATGCAAAAAGCCACGGAAGCCGCGGAGGAAATGATTGCCATGGCAAAAGCCGAAGAGAGGACTCGCTGCCTCTCGCTGTGATCGACAGAAACCTGCAGAAGCACGACTATCCTGAAAGGAAGGCCAAGTCACAGCTTGCAGCGCAAGTCCCGCACTCAAAGTACTCTGCGACACTGCGCCAAGAGCGCTCGAGAGCGCAGTGCAGTGAGCACCACAGCACTGGGCCGTGCCACATCCGCTGTGCTATTGCTCACTGCTTCGCACGCGGGACTCGGACAGACTCGGACTCGGATTCGGGTGCTAACGCGCCGAGGCCTCGGAAGCAAAGCGGCTCTCGTCGCTTTGCGCTGGCCTCCACGCGGACGCCAAGGCGACGGCTGCGAAGGCCCGAGTGGGATCCGAGTCCGGTGAGCACACGTCCCTGTCGGTTACTGCAAGCTCCGCAGGTATCGTCTATGGAGCAAAGAGCCCTCACAGCAGAGGCCCTGCATTGTGACCGTGGTGTCATGGATTGGGTTCCACAGGCACAAGAAGCGTGGTGGCGTAGTGCAAGATCTCACGAGATCGGAAATGGCCACCAATGTCCCTGCAGCTTTTGCGCGGCATCGTTATCTCCACACTCTAACGGGTTTCTTGTCCACTTCTTCCTAGTGTGAAAAGGCCGAGGCTTTCCCAGGCTCGGCCAGGTGACAGTTCTTCACACGGCGATCGCTCCGAACACCCGTACTGCATCTCAGAGCGCTGATGCTGCCCAGAGGAGTACGAGCCCTCGGCTCGGGGCTAGACGCCTAGACTTCCAGCGCCTGCAGGCTGAGAAGAAGGTGGCCTTGGCGTCGTCTGAGCTTAGAGAGGCGTGGACGATCTTGTTGAAAAGCCATGTGGCTCGGCAACTGCCATGAAGGACGATGTGAAGCGAATCGCTGCCGGTCCCAGCGACCCGAGCTTTCCCGACGAAGACAGGCCCGCCAGACTCGAGCGTAAGGTCACAACTATCGACAAAGACGCAGGTTGGTCGCAGAGTTGGAGGCACTGCTTGAACAGTCTTCGGCTCACCACACGCGGTTGTTATTTGCACGACTGCATGCGGCCGAGACTGCAGTCGGGGAGGAATCGCGACAATTGAACAGCACGCATGTAAGGTCTTCGGATGATCATCGAGAGGCCACAGATGTTGCAGAGGCGTTGTGGGCATGGTGTTGTTGACTGTGCTGCTGCCGTGGAGCATACAGCTTCAAGGGTTCTGGATCTATCTGCGAATCAGAGAGGGAGGGGAGATAGCTGGGAGAGAGAAAGAGAGAGAGCTTGGCTCAAGTACTACACCTGTGCTTGGGGGCCTGTGCCGCCCTCTTGTACGGGGGGGAGGACGGAGAGTTAGCTCGAGGTTGTGTCCTCGGGGGAGCTTTTCCGTTCGACCCAGTGGTGCTTGAGCTCCACGCCCGTCGCCACTTTGCTTAAGAGGCCCCTATTCCTTCCCGCGCCACTCCAGATCCTGAACGAGGCCCCTCTTCGGGGGGTGGCCCTCTAGTAGGGGGACGGAGCATACTTTTTCGTTGCGGA